TGTATGCTGCAGCAGTCTTTTCTTCTTCCCTTAAATTCTTCCTTTCCTTACACTCAGCAAGCAGTTTTCTGATGTTGAAATAAGACCTTTTGGGACAAAGATTAGCTTTTTGTTCTGATATTGATCCTACATGCCCAAAGGTACCTATCTAACACGAAGCATGTGGATTTTGGCTGTGAGTTAAATGACTGACTGAGATGACTATTAATTTTGCACTTTGTAAAATGTAAATTGTGGGCAGAGTAACGATAGGCTGTACTGTGGGGTTTGGTATATCACTGTGTGCATTGCCAACCACTGAAGCCTTAACTTTTTGTCTTGTCTAGGGCTGCACAACATGTCAGGTTGTATCTTCTGCCTTCATGCATTAGTTTGTGTTGCCAACAGGTGTTAGCAGGAGGGCTTTGAGCACCATTCTAGAATAAATTTTGCGTTTTATGACCACTGCAATAAAGCAAACCATTAACACTGACCTTTTCCAGCAGCTGTGCAGAGTCCCTTTGTGCCGGGACAGAAACTGCAGATGAATTTTTCCCATGCATTTTGCTGTGAGGTTGAAATACTGGCGAGCTGTCTTTGAAGGACTGGAGCAGCCCCTGCTTGAGGCTGGGCAGTGTGCAAAGTAATGCACGTCTGTGTGCTGTTCTTCTGAGGGGCACTCGCAGCCTGGCACAAATGTTTTCATGGTGAAATGCATTTATAACAAACTTCTTACAGTGCTTTTTGCATGACTTCTGCAAATTAGGATGCAATTAGCTTGTTCCTACTGATGCCTTATTAGTTAGCGTGATGGGCTTAAACTCATTTGGGAGCGGATGTATCACAGATGATTATGCCCTTTTTATTTTTTAATTTTCCATTGCTTTTGATCATTATTTTTTCAGAAAACATTGCTGCAGATTTCTGCTTCTGGAAAGTAAAGATGATGGTTTCGCTCTCTGCTCTGAAGGGCCCTCTGCATTAGGAGCTGTTCAGTTGAGTTGAGATATTCCTCACAGTGCCCCAATCCTGAGACAAGGTCACTCACTATAAATTCTGTAGGTTTATTTTGTTTGCAAGTTGTTTCTATCAGAAATTTAATTAAAAAATGCAGACTAACTGCTCTTCAACAGTAGGAGATATTGAAACAGCTGTATCTTGTTTAAACCACTTGCAGGTGTTTTTGACCACTGAAAATACCTTTTCTTGTATCAATAGGTAGACTTGTGTGTTAACACTTCTGCAGTGGATGTAATAGTAATGGAGATGATTAAGGAATGGTGTGGTTCACAAAAGCACTGGTTCCGGGTTAATTGGGAATTATGAGCTAATTTATATGCTTTGAGTTTCACATCGTATAAAAATAAATAGAGAAGAAGAAAAATCTATTTACCTGGAGCTTCATCTGTGAATTACATTGAAATAAAGCTGTGTAATAAAATAATGTGGAAATTGCTGAAGGCCCTGTATGCACAAGTATGCAGGAATGGTAATCTGCATTGCATGAATAATTTTTTAAATTATTAGACTGACGAATACTCTCTTTCAGGGAACAATAGAGTAAATCTTATTGTAGCTATGACAGTGTATTTTTAGTATCAACTAATTTTCAAATACGTCAAGCTAAGCTTTGCTTTTTCTTTTTTTTTGAGGTGGATGGAATATTTCTAGATGAAAAGGTTTGTGGCTTGCTAGCTCCAGAGTGTGGCTTGCTTTGATGCTAATATGCTCAAAACATGCTGTTTGGATCACGAGGTGCTCGTTCACTTCCCAGGCACTGCTCTGGGGCTGCTGGAGGTGCTTTTCTCTCGCTCTGGGCTGGTTGTATTTGAAATCCCATTTTAACTAACTATCCTTAAATAGTAACACCTATTTTGGTCATGTTCAAGTGTGACAGAGCTTTGCCCAGAACGTTCAGTATTTAGTTTTAAGATGCTTAGATGTTGAGAGGTGGAACTGCTGTTGATGTCCTGTGCTTTCCCTTCTAATGCTAGCACGCTTCTGCTGTTAAAAGCATTTGAATGACTCAGTGGTTCTCTGAACTTCCATTTCTCCAGTATTTCTGCTTCGAAAGTGATGCCTTCTGTTTTATTCTGTTGGCCCCCAGTGTCAGAGGTGACTGTTGGTGGATGTTGGCAGTAGAGGCTGAACCTTCCCCCCAATATCCCCTTCCATGTTGGTGCCTCGTGACAGATGGCAGCAGAGGGGCAGCCTGACACAGGAGTGCGTGTGAAGCAAAGCTGTGTCAGTGAATTCCTCCATGTGGAAGACATGGCACCCATTGACATTTATCAATGCTTGCTGAATATTCATGGAGACCAGCCACAAACGTGTGTGTGAGCACAGTGAGGCGGTGGGTGGTGTGTTTCAGCAATGGGAACAGCAAGGTGCCCTGTTCTGGATGGCCATGCACATCACACCATGAACAATCAGCCTGTTCATGTGAATGGGTGGATTACGACCACGGAACTGTAAAAGCTGAATATCAGCCTCAGGGAATTGGAAACGGTGGTGGCAGTGTTGGAATATCACAAAGCTTGCAGCATGTGGACCCACAGATGCTCACACAGAAACAGAAGGAACACTGTATGCAAGTTTGTCAGGACCTATTGAACCAATAGGAGGCTGAAGGTGGTAGTTGCCTGGATGGCATCGTTACCAACGACAAGATGTAGTGTCGCTACTATGAGCCAGAGTCAAAATGGCAGTTCACAGAGTGGTGATGTGAATTCCCCATCAAAGAAAAAGTTCAAGACACAGCCTTGATGGCTAAAGTGATATACGTTGTCTTTTGCTATAGGAAAGGGATGATCCTCCTGGATTTCCTAGAACTTGGAAAAGCCATCGGTTTTGACCTCTAAATCACAATGCTGGTGAAGCTGAAGGCTCAAACTTCCAGAGCCACACCAGAGAAGAAGTCAACCTTTCTCCTGCAGTGTGATAATGCTAGATCTCATACCGGATTGAAGACCATGCAACACGTTGCTAATCTTGGCTGAACTGCCCTACCACATTCACCATGTAGTCTGGATTTGGCACTTTGTAACTTCCATCTGTTTGGAAAAGATGGGCTGTGTAGGCAACATTTGCTTAGCAACAGCTATGCCATCATAACAGCATGAAGCAGCGGGCCACCTCTGTTGGTGCAGATTTCTATGAGCACAGCATGCAGGCTTGTGTTCATTACTGGTGAAAATGCACAGCTAATGGTGGTGATGATGTTGAGAAATAGTGCTCTGTAGCTGACAATTTGCTCTCTCAAAGAGTGTTACTTTGCTCTTTGTATCTGTTGTCGTTTCCATGGAAATAAGTAGGCATTACTTTTGGAGCAACCTATGTATGTTGAAGAGAAAAAGCTCTTGATGCCATGAATCTGTTGGTTAGAGCTACTCTGAGGCTTTCCTCAGAATACTGTTAAGCTCACAAATTCCAAACCTTTGTTCATCTTGCACATATTTTGCTGCTTCTCCCCAGAATGGATTTGCAGCAGATTTTCTTAGCCCTTCTGCTGCCCCTTTGCTACTATTTGACCAGGCTTCCCAGATCCTTTCAAATCCTTTGTTATCTTTGATTCCTACAAGAACAGCGTTGCTTCTTTCTTTGGGCCCTAAATTAACAGGGAGGTCCGACATACCCATGTCTGAATTCCTTGCATCTCTTGTGGCTGTTTTTCTAAGCACCCCTCATGGAAGGCTGACTTTATTTTATCGGGGAGACAGTCATTTTGAGCCTTGCAATGGAACAAATGGCTGGAATTGGAATGCTGGCTGATATGACTACCGTGAAAGCTTTTATTACGCTTTCTTTTTCAGTGTGCTGTTTGAGTAATGCTAGTAATTAGTGTCTTTGTTATGAGGCTTATGGGGACCTGTGGGGGTGGCTGAGACCAAAAGAGCCGTCAAGGCACGGCGTAGAAAGTCTGCTCTTGCTGTACTATGTGGAACAAATAAGGAAAGCGAGTTATCTGCCTTACAACCAACCTTAAAATTATCAGCTTCTACGCTACTGAAAGCAATGAAAGAACAACGCGGATTTAGTTTTCTTCCCGGTGGTTTTCATTTGCTTGTACAAAGAATTAGAATGATAGCATGTGAAGTTAAACTAAATTTCTCAAGATCATGGTTTCTGGAGCAGTCCATTCCTTCTTGCAGACAGTGCTTGAAGTCCAGTCTACTTTGCATCCAGTGCTTCGGTACATCAGTGCCAATGGCCTCTCATGTGAAGTAGAGCATTTCAGAGAAGTGGGTGCCTTTGGGGACTCTAGCTTTGTCTGGACCTAGATGTAGCATCCTCACTTGTTCCTTCCCATGAGTTGCTCTAGGAGGTCTTGCAAAATGTCATATTGTGGTGGGCACAGTCAGATTGCAGGCTTCAGCTGTGCTGTCAGAAACAACCGCTTCCTTTCCAAACCTTGCACAGTTTAGAACTTCAGGCTGTTAAACCCATTGCATGCCCAGCCAGAATTGAGCGTCTCATTTTGTGAGTGCTAATAAAGCTTTTGAATTTTCCTGTCAGTTGTCAAAGCAATGAATTGGTGATGTTTAACAGTGGTTCCTCCTCTGCTGGGATTCATGGTGGTTGGAATTTGATTAATACTCAGGGAATCGCTGCAGTATCACACACTCTTGTATTCTCCAGTTTGTGTGATTTAATAGGAATATGATAAACTATGCAGTAAATCCTTGGACTTCTTGTTTGTATTTCCTTTCACTTTTGTATATGGAAGATATTTTGGGTAGCTCTGTTATTCTTCAGCGTTATTACTGATGTAGCTAAAAAGGGATCTTGTAATTGCATGAGATCTATTTTCATCACAAAACTGTATCTAAAATTATTTACAAAAATCATTGCGAGTTAATTTTTTTTTCATCTTCTCTGGTTCTATCACATTTTTAGGGAAAAATGTGGGAAGAAATAGTCGCTGAGGCACTGTGTGGTTGTCCCAGACTTCATGTCTTGTTATTGAGCTTGGTGGATAGATGTTTGGCTGAACCATGCTTTTTTTTTTTTCTATCCTGCAGGTCCAAGGAGCTAATAAAGGAAGCTATCCTTGACAATGACTTCATGAAGAATCTGGAGCTGTCTCAGATCCAGGAGATTGTGGATTGTATGTATCCTGTGGAGTATGGCAAAGACAGCTGCATCATCAAGGAGGGAGATGTGGGTTCCCTGGTGTATGTCATGGAAGGTATGGTTTCAAAAGCTGATATCTTTTTCCTTTATTTTCCAACGTACATGGAGATGGGATTTCATGGGAAAAATCATTTTGCAGATAGAGACTAAAGACATTTTCTAAATATGGTTGTCGAAGAACTTTTGTGAACTACTTTTGCTTGGAAAATTCCGTGCTGGATTTGTGTGCCTCCCTATATAAAGAAAGAGGGTTAAAGCTCTTAACCCAGCACTGTTGGAATAAGCCACCACTAAATATAGTTCCTGGGCTTTGAGGCAATACCTATAGCTTTGCTGTATCAATGATTGGCTTAACAGAAATGGTGGTGCTACGGAAATGGAAAGTGGCTATAAAAGGAGGAGACTGTGGTAATAGTTTGCTACCTTATAGACTGTTGTGAGAATGAGCTTTTGCATGTTGATAAAGTACATGGACATCTCTGCAGAAGCAATGTGTTTCATAATAGAAAATGGTATTTTTCTGCCCTGTGCACAAAATGAGTGTAGCATCTGCAGTTTAGCATGTCTGATTTGTCACAGTGTGTGTCGTGGCAGGGTTTTATCTTCTTGGTGAGATGTGAATGCAGCAGTGGATGTTCTGCTTTTGGGGGCCATCAGGTTTCTGAGAGTCTCGTAGCTGGATGGGTGTTGTCAGCACTCTGCTGTTCCAGAATGTCAGCTATTTGCATTTTGTGTCTTATTCTTTCCACGTTCTTTAGCTTTGCCTGTTGAATTGGGCATATTTAATATAGTTATATTTTTTGGTAGAAAGTTTGTGTTTCATCTGTAGGAGTTACTAGGCTTGATCAAACCTGATGTCCACCTACTTCAATGTCTACCTATCTATTTGGCTAGTGTCTAATAGTGAGTTCTGAGATAAATGTGGCTGTTTTAATTGAGTTAATGCAACAACAAACGAGTTCCCAGCTTGATTTGATACAGTACACATAGACAGATGCTTACAAAATCTCTTGGTACCCTTTAGGAAGAAGTAGACATGCAAGCATTTTGTCCAGATAATACCCAAGGAGAACAAAGGTTTCCTGCTTGTCTCTGTCTTTTGAGCAAATATGAGAAAACTCCAGATTATGTATAACTTGTGTGTTTCTGTGTATTTCCACATGCACAAATTAATTTCTTAAATTGTCCTTTAAACAAAAATATTTTCGAGGCAGTAAGCCATCCTTTAAACATGGTTTCCTGCCAAACTCTTAATGCTGTATAGTTGCAAATATTCTTCACTAGTTTCCCAAAACAGCTTTAAGGTTCTGCCCTTTTAAGGTTAAATCCTTTCTCATGGCACAGCTTTAAGTCCTCCAGCTTTTAATATTTACATATTTTCCACATTCAAATGGCATTTTGCATTATGAAGTAGTTAGTGGGAGATTCCAAAGCAAATATATGCCCACCCCAGCATTACATGGAAAGGTGTAGGTTTTTCAGTCTCGCATTTTGAATACAGAAACCATTTTATTGAGGTGCAAGATTTGTCTTAGCACCAGTATCAAACTGTTTTAAAGCGGTGCTTTTTTTTTCTTCTTTTTTTTTTCTCTTTTGTTTTTTTTGGTAAAATAGTGAAGTTTTCATATCACACAACTCTGTTTCCCAAGTGCCACCATGTTGGAGGCGTATTTCTGCTGTGTGACTGGGTTTGGATGATGTGCTCCATCCAAACCTCGTAACAGCAGGGTGCACTTATCTCCTGTGCAGAGCTGTTGCATCCTTTGGAGAGGAATTCTGGGGGGATTTGTGGGCAGACCTCTTCCCACTGTTGTTTGAAGCACTGAACACGGCTTGCGACTCAGGTGGCCTTTATTTGCTGTATCTGATGTTGTACCATTACTGTGGCTTTCCTGAATTTACAAGGTGTTTCTAATTATTGCTCCAGACTCCGTCCCTTGACTCTCATCTTTTAAAACAACTGTATGTCAAAGACAACCTCATGGCTTTTGGGCTCTTCAGCTTATTCCTGCTCTTCTGGAAGGTCTCTGTGTGTGAGGGCAGGATTGGCTCACCCCCAGTGTTTGGTTGGTCTTGTGATTTAATTTAAGATTACTTAGATAGCTATGTAAATATGTATAATGCTTCACAAACAAAATTATGGAGAGTTTATAGTCTGTGTTTAGAAGTAATGTAATGAGTGATGATGAAGTAATGGAAATGAGAGATGATGTTATCAAATGTCTTGGGTTATGGTTGTTACTGTGGGCTCATTTGCTCTTTCTGGCTTATCACTATGTCCTTTCAGCTATTCATACAAGCAAAAAACCTACAACCAATCATCTATAAACTTTATTCTTCATAGAGTTCTTCTGAAAAAAAAATCCTATCTTGATGAATATTAGAGAGTGATTTTTTTATTTTCTCAAAAAGTGCATCAGCATTGCAAATGTTTCGATGTATTCCTCTTTCCTTCCTTGCTTGTGATGAATATGAATACAAATTAGTCATGTTGAGCGTTTGATAACCAATACTATCATGCAAATTTCTAATTTACGATTCAACATTTAGATAGAGCCTCTTACCAGAAGTCTGGGTTATATATGGGCGATGTTTCCTTAGACTAATTAATAATGATTTAAGTAAGATGGATTTGAAAACATCCATCACTTTCATTGTTGCTTTCTGCATTCGCTGATCACTGTGAAGCAGCAGTAGTCTCCATTTTAAATTTTCACTTATCTTCATAAACCCTATTAGACCTGCAGTCTCTATGATAATTATGATCTCTGAATACTTGGGTTCTTTATCCTGGATGTTAAGATACTTACTTATGTGACGCTTGCTGTGCTTGGTGAGCCTTAGAAGGCTGAATAATGATGAGCCCCAAACTCTTCCTTCCTTACTATGGCTTGATTATGCTTTCTGAAAGTAATTCTGGCATTGCTGTCTTTCTGGGGTGAAAATGGCCATTGTAGCTCAGTGAAAGGTCAGGAAAGTCTTGACTGCTTTTCCATTCTGTCTTTGATCCAATCACTGCTGTCCAATACCAGGTTTGGGTGAGCTGTCATTTCTTATTCATGTGTTTGCCCACGTTGGCAGGTTTGATTCTTTCCACTCTGGTTTTGTGCTCTCATGCATGCGATGAGCGAGTAAAAACTGTGTTCTGTGTCCTATTATTTTTTACCTTGCATCAGATTTCCTGCCCTCCTTGTGTTTCTTTTTATTTTCAGGAGTGCTTGTACAAACTGATTGTACTCCAGAGATGACGAGCTGTTTGATAGAGTGAAGCTAGAAAAAAGACTGAAGTTACTGACAGCACAAGGAGAAAGTCTTCCATGTATTCCCATATATCAAAATTCAAAGCTGAGCAGGGAGAAGTGAAACACAGCATGGGAAGATGGGAGGATATTGGAAACTGGGAGAGTCGTGCTTGTTAGAGAACCCTCCAAGGTTGCACTCCCCTGGGACAGCCTTGCTGCATGGAGGCGCACGGGGTCCAGCTCACAAAAGGCCAATGGCCCCCATTTCTCCTGCAGCACCCAAAAAGTTGTCTTGTAGCCGTGTGTGAAGGTGAAAATTAGTTGTGATATAAGCAAGTATTTATTAGGGGCTGAGATTCTTGGAGAAAGGAGCTCTGACCACCTACAGCAAAAGCATGCCTTCGGGCTGTTGAAGCTGGGAGTGAAAAGAGGGATGAGTGATGCTTGGCTTATGCATATGGACTAGTCTCTGCTGGCACTCTGACTGCAAGTCAGGCAATCTTGAGGATAAAATAAGCTTACCAAAAATACTGCCTTTCTTATTAGTGCCTCATCAGGTTTTTGTCTTAAAATTGAGGTTTCTTTCAGAGTGAAAACAGGATTATCTCTGTTGGTCAACTGTATTCTGCCTCTAGAATCAGTTTGCCACCCCCAGTTTGTTTTAAGGTTAAGAAGAAAACAAAAGTTCTCCAAGCTCTGGTTTTGGAGGTTTGATTTGATTGACTTAAAGCCTTTTTTGGGGAATTACATTTCTAAAACTTTTCAGAAATTACTTAAGAATTTGAAAACCTAGAAAGGTCTCTTTCTGAGAGATGCATCTAGATCTGTACCATGTTGACAGCTTTGAGTTATGCGTGGGTGTTACCTCTCACTAATGAGGATAAATGTGATATCCCACATCTGAAACCAAATGTTTCCTCTTTTGCTCCCTCTCTGTCTGAACCTGTCAGCTGCAAGATGTCACATTTGATGGCTGCATTATGAAAGGAAAATATGTCAGCAGAGCTGCAGATAAATCAGGTGACACTGTACAAGTTTTAGGCTCTCATGTGAATAACAGTCATGCCACTATAAACAGACATTCTGATATTTTTTAGAAAGCATATTAACAGGTGTAAGGAGTCCTTCTTTTATGTTGGTTTATATTCCCTTGGAAAATGGAAGGAATAACACTGTGAGTGGAGTGGAGGGGACCTAAAGTACTTGAAATGATTGTTTTGTAGCTTATGGTTTTGTGTTTGCTGTGTGCAGTAGCATCCTCCTTGGCTCTTTGTTCTTCTGCAGATAAATATTGAGGTTGCATTAAAACTCCAGAAGCTGAGCTGAGGGAAACAGCTCCACCAACACCTGTTGGGCTCCTGGTGCTGGACGTATGGAAAGGGAAGAAGCAGCTTTGAGAAGAGCCCATATTGAGAAACAGTCTACACTTTCCTCAGCCCTTATTTTAATAGTTTTTCCCCTTAAATCTCCTTGAATTTAATTTTATTTTCATCTTCAGTCAAGAGGATTCTCCTTTGGGAGACTTTGTTCCTTGCTTACTCTTCATAGAAGCTTCTCCAAAGTGATGAAACATCTAATTATGACTTCCCATGGGGGGGTGGGGTTTGGGACATCAGAGAAGTCTTGGGAAGGAACATATTCCTAGAAAGTGCAGGATTTGCAAGGATATCGAGCTCAGAGTTTGCAGAGGAAGATGAGGCCTGTCACTGTGGCCATGTGAACTACAGATAGGGATGCAGGACGTTGCAGGAGATGTCCCAGCAGAGCTGTTCAGGTGAGATCCTCAGGATCTCAAAGCAGCTCCTCAGTCTGT